CAATGAATTTTACCGACCTACACCATCAGTTGAAAAAGCTGGCTGGATTTTCGGGATAAACATCATAAAAATATGTTTGCATATTTTAAGTTGCAGAAAAGTCATTATTCTGGGCTGAACATGGCTTAAAAAGTTGAAACCTGTTACAATTTTCTGTCAAAAGTAAATCTTGGCAGGATTCAGTCTAGGGAAATCAAGGCCTTCTTCAAGCTGAAATATTTAAATTTAGTAAAATTTGTTGAAGCAGAGTCTATGTAAAGCCTCATACATGGGCTCATACATAATAGCCAGAAACACAGTATAATTGACTATAAGTGTGCTTGAGGGTCTGCTTTTCAAGGAATTATTTGAAATAGTCTCATAGCAAAACAATGCTGTCTTCCTTGTCACTTGTGCTCTGGGACATCATTGGTCTTTGTATTTTAGGGACTAAAATGAATATTCAGCAGTTCTCTAGGGGTGAGGCATAAAACCCTGACCCAGCTGAAGTCAGTGGTTTCATGTTGAGGTCCTGTATACTGGTTTTGTGTCACAAGGTGTTACATTCCTTCCCAGGTTTGGTTAAGCTGTGCTGAGCTGGAAGAGCATTTCTTGGCATAGGGTGAATGATTTTGAAGATGTTTGTCCCATGTGGACTTCCTGGCCAAACTGTAAGAACCCGGTAGGGCAGAGAGAGGGTTGAGGAATGCCACCAGCTGCCATAAACTGCTGTAGGCAAATCCTGTGCTTCCTTTGGGGCTCAAGTACTGCCACTTTTACAGCTATGGGAGACATGGGATGACTAGTGAAATCTTCCTGACACTGGAAGAGAAGAGTTCACCATTCTGTGCATGAGAGATTTGCATGAGAGCATGGCTTATGCATAAGGGCTGTTGTTTTAAAGAGGGGTGTAATGACTTCCCCATTGTCTGCCTGAGCACTCCTTTTTAATGTTAAACATCCATGGAACTGGAGTGGAAGCAGTCAGTTGGCCACATTTCTGAGGAAAGTGCATCACAATAGCACATTAGTCATCCTCACTTGATAAAAACAAGAAAGATGAATGAAAAGCTGTAGCACAATGTAGAGTTGCAAGAGCAGCTTATATTGAAAGAGCTGGCGGTTTTTTCTTGTTATTTTAAAGTGTGTGTGAAGACACCAATGCTCTTTGAAAGCGGCTCTGTTTTAGGCTTGAAAAACTACAGGGTCCTTGGGATTTCAGGACCTGTACCTGTGGGTGATTCAGGCCTTTTACCCTTTGGAAGAAGAGAAACAAAATTCTGGCTTCTGCCCTGGCATGAGGCCATCTGATGTGTCCCTGGAAACAGCCAAGTAGGAAAGATTTGCCTGCTCTGCGTAAACATTCAAGAGCACACAGCATTTTCTAGGAGAGCTGCGCTTTTGTCCTGAGTCACTGCATTCCTTCTGCAGAACTGTGCAGTTAGCTGCTGCCTTCCAGCAGGTTGCACAGAGCAGTTGGATTGCTCATGAACAGTGCTTGGGGCACATGAGTACTCTCTAAGTAAGCTATAGTGACCAATGGCACTAAACTGAACAAGCACTGTTAGTCTTTCTCAGTTTCAGTGTGCAGTAAGGAGCAGTTTTCTAGGATTCAACAAATGGTGCAGTGCCAGATGTGAGGGTCTGTTGAGCTGTATGTAGATATCCGGGAGAAAAAAAAAACCAGATTTGATGACTTACTGAATGACTTCTGCTTGTAAAAGAGAAGCATAGACATGGTCTCTTAGTTGTTGGCAGAAAATAATAGATGGAACTCTGGATGCAAAAAACACGATTTGATCTGCGGGTATGTCAGCGGGGCAATAAGGATGAGAATGATTTCTGTTTCTCATTGTAAAATAATATATCAGTCACATGTTAGTCATCACTGCAGGAAAGTGGCAAAAGCACAGCAGTAAAGAGACCCCAATATACCTACCAGATGATGCTCAGACTGTTGATGGCACCAAGCTCACATCTGTAAGTTCAAAGACTTAACACTTGGTCCTTCATTCCCACGTTTGTTCATCCAGCTGCTCTGGTTCTGTGGGCACAATTTCATCGTGGGAGTCACTTGAAACTGGCTCATGAGTTCACTGGCATATGAGGAGTACTTTAAAAATATGAAGCATTTTTATATGCAATGTGATTTATAAGTTTGCTTTTTTTCTGTATGACTGATTTCATTGTAATTTCAAGCTGTGATGTTACACAACAGAGAGAATCACCCTCTGCTGTTATAGTCCCTTTTATTCTTTGCCTCTTATTTGGTTTGCCATTGAAATATTGGGACAAATGCCTCAAGAAATGGTGCAACAGTCTCTCTGAGGCTTTGGAGGCCTGGACAAAGCAATGGAAGGAACATGCAATGTGCAAGTTATGCACTAGGGAATCATGAAGACATTCAGTTATTGTGTTTTGTGTTCTGAGTAAAATGCCTTTAGTAATTTAATTAAAATGCAGAACCCAGGCTGGCTTGCAAGGTGTTCAGCACTCTCTGCTCCTTGTGAAGACAGTTTGTCTGAAGAGTGACAGATTATTTTTTTCCTCTCCCCTTCTATGCCAATGTACCACAGTCACATTTGCTCCAATCCTGACATTTAGGTTAAACGTTTGGAATTGAAGCCCCAAACTTTGCTTAAAAAACTAACTCCAAGGCAGAGAAAAAGACTATGAGGATAAGCTCCTACTTCAAATGAATGGAAATATTGTTTAAAATATGTTTAAATGTGTTTGTGTCATAGGAATTCGGGACAAGATTTGGAGTTTTTTTAGTCTTCCTTTTATTAATGTTGGGTTATTCCTGGACATAATATATGTTTGTGTCAAACTAAAATATAATCGACTATAAAACAGTCTTGGCACATCATGATTTTTAGGAGGTCACTACTCCTATTTTCTTTAAAAAGTTACAGGTGATGTGTCCTAAAATATAAATTTCCAAATATGGATTAGATCTTACAATATAAAATAATGTTGCTCATGCCCAAGCAAATAATAAGGTCACAATTGTCTGGTATTGGGTTGTAAAGTATGAATAACTAAAGATTTCTTAAAAAATAAAAAGAGGGAGAGGAAGAGCCTTGAATACAACTTCAGAAGGGCCAAGCTTTCTACTTTGTGTAGGCTCTCTGTTCATGTGGCTTTGGACAGAATGACAGTGCAGGAGCAGATTTTGAGAATGTCCAGGGGGAAACATCAAAATTCCATTCGCTAAAGTCTGAGATGTGAGGCTTAGCTGCATGTCTTCAGTATGCCAAAGTTAAATGCAGTTGCCTCTGGAATGAAGCGGACAACGAAGAGTGATTAGGCAGTGTCTGTGACCGATTATTTATGCATCTCACCTTAAAAGTCTACAATGACCAAGACTGACCTCACCAAGAGCCTGGGCTAAGGCACCCACCTATGAGAATTGCCAACAATGTAATTTCTGTTTTGGAGGAGTGGAAGGTGATACTAAGTCTGAACTTAACTGTAATGTAACTGAATAGGTTCCACAGACGTGCATATTCTGCAGTGCTCCCAGTGTCACTGGTCAAATCCTGTTGCTGCTTTTTATGCCTCTGTCACTGAAAGAGAAAAAGGAGAAAGTGGAGCAGGAAAGAAAAAAAAAAAAAAAGGTTTGTCTTCACTGTTCTCACTGCTCTTTGTGTGGTCTTATCTTTCAATCCTGATGCCCAAGGAGTTGCAGAATGACAATATTTCTCAAAACTGTCTTGGTTTTGGAGAAAACGGCTACAACAATTATTTCTTCTGCTAAAAATTAGTAAACTGCAGTTAATTGAGGGTGCAGGCAAAACTACAGAAATACTTAATGGAATGCATCTGAGTTTCCACATCCTGTGCTGAAATGGGAAACAAAAAAAACAATGTAGATGTAAAGCTATAGTGATTTGAATGCTGGAAATTAATTTCAGAAGATGAGTGGTGTTTTTGGTGAGAAAAGACTTTGTTTTTTTATTGTTACTCTGAATCAAAATATAAGTTCACAAAGTGAGCTTAAATGCAATAAAATGTGGAATCAAGACATGGTAGTCAGCAATGAAAGTGAAAATAACTTTCAAATTCTGTTAAAAAACCTGAGGCTGTTGGATGAATCTTCTCCTGTTTGAAAAGATAGGGTCTTATATGTCTCTGCAAAATGCACAGAATTTGGCTTCTAGAATTTCAGTACTTTTACAAAGCTTTAAAAAGAGCTGAAAATGAGGGAGTCCTTGCTCTAAACGTCAGCAGCTTGGCAAGGCTTTGGACAGCTGGCATTAACTTCAATGCTAGTATTCAGCTGACACCCTTGTTCAATGTATCTTTCTTACTGCAACTGGCAGGGGACAAGGGCTATTGTGACTGCAACTTTGAAAGCAATATTTAATTAAGTAAATTGATGTGTTCATTGGGAAACTGCAAATCATTTTTATGTGGCCTTTTTTTCTGCCCCCCCCCCCCCCCCCTTTATTAAAGGCTCTTGAAGGGGTGCTCTTTGCATTCAATAAAGTTTTATCTTTACAGTGGGTACTTAGTGGTTTGCATGCTTCAGCTTGCTGCTCAGTGGGCATCAAGGGCAGAGTTTTTCCTTTAAATATCTTCATTCTCTACCTACACTTTCAGGAAGAAATAAATTTGATGGTGTTTGACTTGTGCTGAACATGCAAAGCATCCTTTTTATTAAAGGATGTTCGTTCTGCTAAAGGAGCAAATAAGGAAAAAAATAGGATTTCAGTGAGTTGCTTCCCCCTGCTCCCAAGAATAATTTTACATACGCTGTGCCCATGGAAGTAAAAAGGAGACATTTGCTAATGTTTTGGAGGGGAAAGCAGCTTGTGCAGGGTGATGTAATCATTATCCTCTGCTTAGGCCTCCCAGAGAGGAGGGAGAAAACAATAAGTGAACACTAAAGGGTTAAGCACAACATTGAGAGCAATTTGTCTATTGTTTCTCTAGTAATATCTTTCACCAACTCACCACTCATCACCTTTTCCAAGTAGTCTCCATATAGCAACAAATGGCGCCACAGACAAACCAGATGCAATCTCATGTTTTCTTTTAATAAGCATTTGTAAATGTGTTAAAAGGGAAAGCAAGGGAAATGGGAGAAAAATGTTTATTTTGTAGAAGCTGTACCAAGGAGCATTGAGAACAGGGAACTCTTTTTGCTGTAACCCCCTGTGCTACCTGATGGACCTCTACAGTTCTCATGTAATTTTGTTTTGTTAAAGGAGTTGTTCTGTGTCATTGAAATGAACCTAGGTTCTCTTCACAGTACTCTTGAGGATCCTGAGCTTGTATTCTGAATATTTAGAGCATGTTGACAGAGCCCTAGGTGTAAAAATGGACTCTTATGTTCTACCTTTAGTTTGCTGCTAATTTTCATCTCTCTGTTTAATGCCATAACACAGTTTTCCTCAATGACATATCTGCATATAATTGCTCTATGTATGTTTTTCTATCTGCAGAACAATGGCATCAGTGCACAGTATGGTTTTTTTCCCCAGCAATGTTGCTCAAAGTCCTTAAATTTAAATCTTTCCTTGACTAGGTAAGTTCATTACTTTTCCTTAAAAAGAAATCTATTGCTTTTGTCTTTTTTTTTACTCTAAGTTTCTTTCAGTTGGAGCTGACTTTAAAAGATGGAAAGCATTTATCTTTCTTTACATAGAAATTAACCACATGCTTTGTTTCAACATACATTATTTCAGTTAAAAAAAAAAAAAACAACCAACCCAAAATAACAAAGCAACAACCAAATACCAAGTAAAAAAATCCCCATCCCATCCCCCAAACTTAACAAAAAGTCTGTGAGAGTAGATAGTTTGTATCTCTTTTCTTGCTGTTGAATGTACGATAAACATAAAATGCCGACTGTCCTTATAATAATAGAAGATTTCTAGGTTTTTACAAGCATGAAGCATTGTTGTAAGGGTTACTTATTTTCCCCCGATGAGTTTTATAACTTAGGAAATTTTCACTGAGATGCACAGAGCAGGCTTTCATATTATGGCTGAGTGCTTGTCAGCAGTCCAGGCAGAACTTCTGGAGACTGGTCAAAGGAAAAGGTCATCCTCCACCATTCAACCTTCCCAGCTGTAGAAAAGGTTGGCCAAAATGCATTTTAAACAGCTGTTCCTTTGTAGCAGCAATTACTGTAGTTGTTACAAGGAAGTTAGATGGTCACAAATGGGAGGGAGATCAGTTTAACAATTGTAAATTCTTGCTGCCATTCATTTCTGAGTACAGGAGCCTTGAATGAGTGGAATTAAGTTCTGTTTCTCTAGAAAATACAATTGATGGAATGTTTTACCACCAAGATGCAGAAGATCTTGTTAATAGAAAGAAAATCAACATAAATTCCTTCCTGTCAATTGCACAACAATCATATTCCAAGTTTTTCCCATCTGATTTGATGATTTGCATATAGGTGCTGTGCATAAAGGCTGGTTGGCCAATTTAAATGGTAATGGCAAGATCTGGGAAGTTTATTGCCTATATATAACATTTTTTGAGAACTTCTGTCACCTCTTTGGCCCATAGTGAGCTTTGCCATATGATGTTAGCGGACGAAGACTTTGCTAGCCGGTCTTGCTAGATGCTGGAAACATGCAAAAAGTCAGCATGAATTTCTGGCTGAAGTTTGTTTGAGGTATCTGTGGCCCTTGGTCGAACAGAAGGAAAAAAAGCTTATGCTCAGACAGAATTCCCTGACTTTTGAAGAGCATCTTGTCTCCTTATCGATTGCAAACTGTGCTGTAAACACTTCTTTAACTCCTTCCAGAGCTCGTTTCCACAAGCACGGCGTTTGGCTGGGCGGCTCCGTTGCCGCCGAGCTGAGGGCAGCCGCGTCCCACGGCGGCCCTGCGGCCCTGTCGGGCTCTATCGCGGCCCAGCCGCTGTGTGCAGGGTGCCACAGTTAACGCTGCCCAGATGCTCTATCTGTGGGAAGCCCAGGAGCCAGGGCCGATGTTTTCCAAGCTCTTATCCTTATCCTTACCCTTATCCTTGCCTGTTTGTGCCAGCGGGGTCACCCCGCGGCCCCCGCAGGAGATAGCGCTGCCCAAGACGTTGAAGTTTGTGTTGTTTAGGCCACGTAGAGCTTTTCAGCAAACTTCTGGGAGCAAAGTGATGGGGTTTCTCTGGCAGCTTGTGGACCTGAGAGTGCTTTTTAACATAAGACTTTGGTAGGAATTCTGCCTCTAATTAGAAGATCATTTTATGTAGGTGCTAATAAAGCATATGGACTTTGCAGGAGCTTCAGGCTGTGTTTTGCTCTGATCATTACTTTTTATGTTTAGGTATAGATCTTTTCCAATTTTTCCATTTCCCACATGTGTTGATGATTACTGAAGTCAGTCATATCATCTTTTATATGATCAGCTTTCTTAGGATAGCTTGCTCTTCATGGAACACACAAAATTAGATTTCTTTGTTTTTGTGGCAGATTTTAGGTTGTGCATATCACATGCATGTGTCACGTAATCCTAGGAATTGAAGAAGTAAAACTATTTTCACCCATGCTGAGGGGATATTTGAAGCAAAATATACAATCTAACTACATAGTGTCATTATAGAAAAATGCAATAATATATTACTGAAAAGAGTCAATATTTTTCATAAAATAAACACTTCAGAAACTGTCACATTCCTCCATGTGCATATCTGGAATGTAAGAAAATACAAATAATTTGTGGCAACTTTTTTGTTTTCAACTACCTGTATACAAGACACAGAAATCTCTGGCCCATGCAACCATTTAAAATTATGTATCTGTTATTATGGGTCTAAAAAAGTATTTAAATTTCATAATTTGTCTTTTAAAACTTTCTTTTAAAATTGGTTATTTGGTGTTGCATATTTCTATTTAAGATTTTTTTGTTTGTTGTTTGTTTGATTCCTGAGGAACTAATATTTTTTTCCTGAATATTTTTACTTTCTTATACAAGAAGCTTTTGCATACAACACACAAATGACCCTGTTACTAAGGTTCTACTATGCTTTTTAAGTGTGTGAATAAAGGTTTTTTTTTCCTTTAAGGGCTGGAGGTAGGGTTCTTTTAACTGCTTCATATCCACATTCCAAAACCTATTTAAAAACCTGAGTCTAAAGTCCAGCTGACAATGAACTCTATTTTCAGCTAAGACTCCCTCCTCCCCCACTTCGCCACACACTGTTTCTGCTGCTGGTCCACTTGTGATAAAGAGCAAAACTGTTGTTTGGCTGACATGCAGAAGGAGTTGTTTATCAAAAGGAGGCTATTCTAGGAGGATATGCTCTTTAAACAGAACAATGGGGATTTTGAAGATAACCAAATCAGTACTACATAGGTGTTAGATCTGTTTTAAATTGTTTCTGTGTTGGAAAGTAGGAGGGGGCCCTGGTATTTGGCTTTGAATCTCTGGCTTGCAAGTGTGAAATGGCTAAATCCAAATTAGCTGCCAACTGTGCTTTGTACTGCAGTTAATGCTTGTCTGTAGGGCCTGGGTACAGCGCCTGAGGAACACAGGCTGGGGGTGCAGGGAAAGAGGCCCCAGAAAATCCAATTTCATTTTGTGATCCAGGTGTCCCTTGCACTTCACCCAGGCTGGTCTGTTTTGGGTTTTTTTGATCCACTCTCAGTTGAAGCTGCAGTACCTAAAAGCAAACCTACAGGCAGACTCACCTTTGGCTAGTTAGGTCAGGTGATAGACATCCCCATCCTGTTGATATAAATTAATTGGTTTCTGGACATGAGAGAGTTATCAATACCTGATAAGTGGGAAGAGAAACAAGGGAACTTCATGGGAAACTTAGTTTGGTACAAAAGCTCAGCAGACACACGTGAAGCGTTTTTGTTTGCTCACGCCTTCTGCAGAGAGAATCTCATCAAGAATAAAGGTGACCTTCAAAGGCAAGGGAGAGGAACATTACATGTTCTGTCAAGCTCGTGGATGACTGTTTCTATTCTTTCTGAGTTATGACAATCCCTAATTTTCTCTAATGAAAGCTTTTCTTCAAGTATTTTCTCATATATTTTTGTTATTTTGGAATGTCACCAGGTACAACTATTTTCAGTTGTACCTCTCTCCCTTACTTACTTGTAGTGGTACTTTTGTGGTACATTTAAAAATCTCTTCCCAAAATTAAAAAAGTGAAGATTTCATGTAAATAATGCAGTATGAACTCCGTTCCCTGCCCCCCTGCAATACCTCTACACATGAAAAAAAAAAAGGAGCAGAAAACTTTTTTCTTCTCTAGTGCTGACCATGTGCAAGTGATTTATTTAAGGTCACACAGTGAATTGTTTGCAAGAGAGGGATGATTGTCTCTGCTGGCCATCTGATTAAAGCTCAGCCTAAATATGTTTGGAAATTTGCAGGTGGCTCAGGAGAACATCTGGGAGTGCCCACTCTTCCTGAAATATCTATTTTGATTGATTACAGAAGGGGAGAGGTCTTTTTTATTCACCTCGTAGACATCTCCTGCCCTCAAAATTCAGAATTAAACTTTTTTTCTGCTGTAAGGTTTCCTGCCTTCTTCCTTCAGTACAAATGCAAGCTTAAATTCTTTTAAGTGTGAAAAGGGCACCCCAGTGACCCCTGCCTAACATCACTGACACTGTTTGGCATTCTCACCTGAAGCCTGGATTTATTTTCTTAAAGATTCCCACTAGGTAAACCCCATGGAAAAACTAACCCTTGACAGCTCTTGCTGTTTTAACCGTCACCTTTAGAGGCAAGTGTGATGATGTGGACATGAGGAGGGGCAGTTTGTTGATGCCACAGCCAGCCTTGCTGTTTGTTTTCTATTCTGTCCTGAAGTGATGCGTTTTCAGAAGCTTTATCACACAGCCAGGAAGAAGTGACTCCGTGGTTATTCAGACAGAGTAGGGATGTGCTTTGTGCATCAAGGTGAGGGATGTAGCCTGATTATTGCAGTAAGTTTTGACAAAGACAGCGTTGTCAAGAGTGGCAAATAATGAACCCTTTCCTGAGCTTGCTCAGAGTAATTGCATTGCAGGGGGACACAAGGATGTCTGGGCCAACACTGACAACCCTGTAGTTTCCTGTGTTGTTCAGTCCTCTTGGAACTACGTGTTGTGCTCTGCTGCTAAGTTTGCAGACTGCTTCATGGGTATGTTGTCTGTGACTTAAACTTATTAAAGTGAAATGATTCTCTTAAACTGAAATGGATTCTTAAAGAGGGTTGGGGTTTAAATTAGAGTATCCCACTACAGACTTAGAAGCCTATTGTTTACTTTTATGTTTGAAAATGTTGCCCTTTACTTTTTAATTTTTTTAATCTTATCTAAGCCAAGAAATTGTACTTCTATTTGGCAGCTTGGCTGTTTTTTGGTTTTGTTCTAATAACTATTGACCTGCCCATGTAGATTTAACTGACTAGAAATAAGCGTTCCTCCTGATTATCACAATATCTCATATACATTGACAAAAGTGTTGGAAACCAGGTTTTATGACAACATAAAGGGTAGAACTTTCCAACTTAGGAGGAAATACATTCCTATACTTGAAACACCAAAAAATTTAGTAGAGGAAACTAAACTTGCGGTTTAAAACTAACTATAAGTTAAACAAAACTATAACTTGCAGTGCTGCTGCAGTCCAGTGACCAATTCTCTGTTTTGTGTGTACTCACATCTGAAATTTTTTTCAGTGTTGAGCTCCAAGCATCAATTGCTGCTGCTTGAACTCTGGTCTTGCTTTAATGATGGGTCCTTTGCTCTCACCGTTGTGCTGGTGTCTTTGGAGACTATCACAATGTAAATAAATACAATCTGTTTGTTTCTAGGCTGTTAAAAAAAGAGTAAGTTGTATGTGTCAAAGAAGGGGAAAAACTCTTAAGGATTCATTTGCATGCCTTTGAGATGCAGGAGGTACAGGAAGCAATGGGTTTAGGGGAGGGCTAGCAAAGTCGTTCCATAGGGGTATAACAATAGGGAAACGTGTTGAGTGGTTAGATGCTGTTAGATTAGATTAGTGCTGATTTATTTGGCAAGTGGTGTTTATTTTTCTATTAATCATACAGAGGTACTTAAAGCTTGCAGAAAAGGTCTTGTTCCACAAATCATTGTGGAGAATGGTTAGTTTCACGTGTGGCTGGTGTTTTTTCTTTTTCTTTTGTTTTAATCATTCATAAGAAATTTTTTTAATTGGAAATTAAAAAAAAAATTCTAGTCTAATTCTTTAGACTAGAACTAGAAAATGGAAATGGCAGTAAAGTAGTACTGTAGTTCAGGTATACTGAATTTCTCTGCTGCCATGATTGTCCCTAGGCTGGATTTTTCTTCATCTGTTGCATTTGTGATCTTTTCTTCCTGCCTTTGCTCATGTTATTATAATCTTAAATGTGGTGAAATATGCTGACTCGTACCAAATTTTATGTTTCAGCAAAGGAGAGCAAATAGAGCATATGAATTCACAGTTGGCTAGAGCTAATTTTGTGTAGTTACTAGCTTACATCACAGATTTCTCTGTCAGATGTTTGAAAGTAAAATAGGAAGCATAGCATGGGCTGAAAGAAAGTTTGGAGTTTCAGAGGGACAGCCTCTTCACACCATTGCCAGATCACCTCTCTCTTTACTTTGCATTTGTAGTTATAAACTAGGACACAGGTCTGATGGCTGCTAACAACCCTCCTCAATATTTGTGGTTTCTCTTCAAAGGTTTTATTTGCTGTAAACACTTTCTCGATGAAATTTGCAGTGAGGGGGAAAGCTGGTGCAAGACGTGGCTGTGGAGCATCACGGAGCTGGATCAAGCAGCTTGTGGCAAGGCTCCCCACCTCTGCAGTGCTTCTCCTGCTGCTCCCAGGGCTCCCCGGAGAGCCTGGCTCACAGCAGCCACCCTGACTCTAGGAGGCAATGCTTGTAGCCACCGAGAGCCTCTCCCAGAGGCATTTCCCTGGACTAGGCAATGGCTGCTCTGCACCCTTGGCCCTCTTCCCCTGCGTCCTTCGGGTACTACACTCTTACTCCTCTTTTCTCCTAGTTTAGCTGCTTTTTTCTCTCTAAAGACTATGCAAATGCACAATTCCCTGTTGTTTACAATCTCTCTTAATCCTGCTGTGAGGGAGAGCTTCTTCCAACGCTTTTCTTCCTTGTAATGCAACTAGAGCCACCATTAACCTTACCTAAAAGCTGATGGCTGGTCACTGGAGCTTCTCCTGACCTCCAGCTCCCTCCTGCCTTATGCTCCCTGTCAGGTACCATTCTTTAACATGCACCTTCAGTGGATAAACAGAAAACAGGTTTCTACTCAAAATGGGTGGAAAGGGACTTGTATGATCTGTGGCAAATACACGTGTTTGCCACTATATTATTAGCATAGCCTTTTCCTGAGTCCCAAATGCTGGCCTATTTGCCCATATTGGGCGACTGTTCTACTTTCTCTCTATTAATTTCCAGGGCAAATTTGAGCTATCTACTAAGTGCTGTAATAACTGTGTGTAGACTAGTACTTTCTGTACTTTCTGACTTTAGTTAAAGTGTAGGATGGATTTGTAGTTTCAGCATTTCCTTTGACCCACTTTTCTGAATTAATTTCTACTGTCCCTGAAAAATACTGTCCTGCCTCCCTTCTGGTTTTGCTATTTCCTTTTGTTTGCTAAAATATTTAATAAAAATTTGCAGCAAATAAAAACTGTGTAAGTGGAGGAAATTTCCTTGGCTGGACAATAAAAAGGTCAGATTTGGTGACCTTGGTTTTCAGATGTATTTTCCTTAATACTTAATTGAAAGAAATTGTCAAGATTTATTTTTATTTCCTTGATTGAACTATTTGCTTTAGGCTAGCTGAAGAGAAATACTTTTCTTGTTCAGTTTTTACTTTCTTGATGCTTGTGATGATGTCATTCACAGAGTGTTCCATAGTAGAATTGTTGCCTTGTAATAAACTAGTGGACTCCCTCTCTCTGAATTGATATTTTGAGGGCAGAAATGGTACACTCGAAATTATTTTAAAGAAAGAAGAAAGGAAAATGAGATTAATACTCCCCCTGTCCCTTCATAATTATCTCTTAAACATGTGGTACGGTGTTGGAAACAGTGAGTAATCCTCACCTTCACAGCTCTGCCAGCCAGAGTGTTTCATGTGAGAGATGGTGTTTTGCTGACGCAGGGCTCTGCTTACTCCAGTAGGTTTCTCTTTGTGCTTATTGAGATGCCAGCAAATCTACTGCATAGGTCATGCAGTGGGAAATTAATTTGGTGCCATCTTGTTTCAGCTCCTGCTTATCCTTATCATGTGCCTGTGCCCTCCTCCAGAGGCTGGCAGGGGCTCTGTGGAGTGGCCTGTGACAAGAATAGCTGGGAGGGTGGCTTCAGGAGTGGCCTGTGACACAAATAGCTGGTAGAGTGGCTTCCAGCGCACTGTGAGTGCTGTGAGGGCTGCCTCCCCTGCCCTGAGGGAGCTGGCTGGCTCCATGCCTGCCCTTGCCAATATGCCAGCCTTGTTCTACTCGCTCTCCTCTTCTCTCGTGCTCTCAGTGCTCATTTAAATAAGATAGTCTTGAAAATGCATCATGGAAGGTTTAGAGGATGACTTTAGGCAGGATTTACATGATAGACACCAGATCCTGCTTGTCTCTGTACAGATATACGGGCTCCAAGTTTCCCTTAGCTGCAGGGAAGTGCCCAGAATTACAAATGTGACTGAGGAGCAGGGCTTGCTTGTGTTGTTTAGAAAGGTGCACAGAACGGTTGTGTCAGGTTTGATGTCTCGGGGCTACCTGGAGCTGTGTCAGTGCAAACCATATGTGGGAGGCTGGGACAAGTGTGGTGAAAGCCACAAGAGAAGATCTTCCCTTCTCAGTGTGATGCACCTACACCAGGACTTTGTGGTATTACAGCTATGTAAATGTGGTTCGAGCGTTGTAAAACAAACCCCTTCCAGATATCACAAATCATTCTTCTTTTGAAAGATCTTCATTGCTCCAGTCTTCCCACACCTCCCAGCCTCAAATGCCTTACCTAATGCTCTAGACAAAGCATAATAAATCTTGCCTTCATTTTTAAATCTTCTGTTGTGCACACTCCCTGCACTATGGAGACCATGGCATTCCTTATGTATTATTTTCCTGCTTTCAAGGTATGTCTACTGTTTAGCGCTCTCCTCATTCACACCATTGCTCAAAACTGACATCTTTCTCTAGTTCGTGTGAATCTGACAGTGTGAAATCTGCACCAGAAACTTAACTGTAACCACCTGCTGTTTTCTCTATAATTACCAGTAAGCAAGTCCACTGTAAGTATGTGTGTCTCCACTTTGGATGCCAAAAAGACATTGATAGCTTCTGAGTCAATCATCTGTTGGTCTGACGTGAAAAAAATACCTCTCACTTGAGTCGGAACCTTGTCCTTCTCTCGTCTCTTTACTGTTTGAGATTTCGTGTGGTAGCAATGATAGCTTGGATATAACAACACTCTTGGGGGCCATATGGAGATACCCAAACTTGTCCTAGTCCTAGGTTTGAAAATAGATTAATTTCATAGAGCTAGCTAGCTTTGAAAATAAGTCTACACCTGCCTGGATAAACTTTAGAGGCCCTCTATTAGCTCTTATATTAGCAGTGTAGTTCAATGGTTATGTTAGTGACCTTTTTCAGTACAAGAATTCATGTTAATTCATGGCAACCTAGAGCATTATTATAAACCTCTCGACTGTTCTGTTTTTTGGGGCTTTGAAATGTAATCAGAGGTGGATTTATCTGATACTAAGAAATGAAACAGTTACCAGCCTTAGGTTTCCTCCCTTATTTTTGTAGGAGGTTACTGCCAGAGTAAACTGAAATTGGAGGTGGTTTGTGATCATGCTGCAGCCTGTACACTACACTTGCTCAGGAGTTTATCCAGGAGGATCAGCTGATCCTTCTGCAGGATGGTGACCTCTGGCAGAGACACAGGACAGAGACAGCTGCTTCTGCTCTCCCAGCTAAACCTGCTTAAGGCAGTGGGTGGGAGTTGTTAATGCCATTATTTGTTTAATTGTAGGGCTAATAGGTTTGTGTGTGTGTGTGCACTTTATTACAATAGAATTCATTAAACAGAAGCAGAAGAAAGATTGAGTATGCTACTTTGGGAGCTGTTTCCAATTGTTATTCCTTTTTATTAAAGAGACACTAAAAGGAAAAGTAACCAGAAGCAAACTCTGCTTTAAACTCTCCTCTAAAAAGACAGCTCACCCTGAAATATCTGGTGTCATGGGGGTGTGCAGTGCTTTTAGGAATACAGGGCAAAGGTGAATTTTTAATTAGCTTGGTCTTGTTATTTTCCTCCAAGTATAGATAGGCTTACCTTTCTCAACCTTGGTACTTGAAAATAGGCAGCCAAGGGTGCTCTGGGAATTATTTGCCCCGGAAGTCTGTTAGAAGAATGGGAATCCAAAAGTTATTTCTGTTTTAATAAGGAGAGGATAAAGTTTTTAATGATGATAGCCTTATGGAAGTGCAGCTTTTTCCCTTTCTCAGCCCCCTCCATAATATCCTTAGTAAACAAAATAGAGATGGAACAAATACTCACAAGCTACTGCAGGGATCACAGTGGTATTTTGTGAGGTGCTGTGGGAATATCTTCTATGCTCAGGCCCACTGTGAATCTGCGAGTAATGGTCCTCTCAGGAAAGAAGCTGAGCTTGGCAGTGGAAAGTATCTTGCCCATAGTGGAGATGGTGAGAGAATTGGCAATGAGGAGGTGACTGGTCATTCTGCGAGGCCTGGTCTGGGGCCAGTTTTCATTTTCATCTTGTTGTCTTTCTGTTTTTCTTTCTCTCTCGCTTTTGTTATTTATACCAATGAGCAAGTGTTGCTTATTTTTAGCAGCCTTTCCATTTTGCTCAGGCACTGATCCTAAGTAATGGAATGCCTATGGCCCTCCCTCAGGCACCATTCCACTTCTAATAAGAGCAAACAAATGCAAGCTTTGGTGTAGGGTGTTATTGATTTTCTTCCAGGCAAGTAGGTGTTTGTGATATATATAAAAGGTGCCCATGCATACCATGTGTTAGCACTCCAACATCTTATGAAAAGGCCTGGCATACTCTGCCTTGGGCTCTTGGTGAGAAATTGTGTTGTGCATCTCCATAAAGAAGCCTTGCAACTTGCTTATTTTAGAGGATATAAACCTCCCCCTACGAACACAAACACCCCCAAATAGGCACACCCATTTCCACTACTAGAGCAAAAGCAAGGTTCTCCCTTGAGTGCAGACAGTTCCAGGTCTGGGAAGCAGATGGATCAATTAATAGAAGCAGAGGTAAGAGTTGTGTAGACAGGGGTAGATGCTGTAAGCTCCATTTTCCCCCTTTTCTAATTTGGATCTTCTATCAGATCTTAATTTTATTGCAGAGATGCTAACACTAGGGATAATGGAGTCCTGAGAGAAAGATTTATGGGAGGGCTTCCTGAGGTGTGGATGTCCAGGGGAGCCCCTGCCACACAGATTAGCAGCTGGCAAGCCACATCTTCCATTGAGTCTCCTAGCAGCTTTATGTCTTTTCAACAACCTTAGAAACTACCCCTTGTCTAAACCCCTTTAGGCTGGGAAAAAAAAAAAAAAAAGTAAGGAAGGGCGTATCCAATCTGAGACAACAAAGCCAATCCTTTCCTAGCCCTACTCAAAGCATATCCAAAAGAACTTCAGAATGAAGAAGAAGCATCTACATATTTAAACGGCAAGGAAAGAGATGCAGAGTTTTAGGTCTTGCCCATCCATTCTAGTCGTGCATTCCCCTCGGGTAGAAGGGATTTGCTGAGAGAACAAGAGCCCTTTGTCATCACTGTTGCCTACTTTGCATTGACAGCACTTGTCTCTCCTAGACACGTTTGTATTGCTGTCAGTGATTTCTAGCTTGTCCTATTTCAGTTCCAGCTGGAAGGAAAGCAGGTGAGGAGATTGTTCTACACCCTCAGTGTTCCTGAGATCCCACCCAGCCCATAGGTATAGCTGCATAATGCTTGGTTCTCTCAGTAGGGTCTGGCTTAGTTTAAACACTTCCTGTAAGTTTTTGTCTTCCCAGTTTTCAGGGAAAACTGATGCATTTTCAAGACTGACTCATTTTGATAGGTTTACAAGCCTACTTGTGTGCATGCTTATGCTGGCAGAGGAGACTAATTTCTGCTAATGGAAGGAGAAGAATGACTGGGGAAACATTACTCAGGCACAGCTAGAGCAACCAGTGGACCTCTGCTTAATTTATTAATGCCATGTCTGTGCAAGTATTGTTGCTTTTGCCACTGCTTGGGAGTTACCATTGACTGCAATTGAAATATATTGGAGATGGGGAGAAGAAGGAATCTTTTTTAGGTAACAAAGTGATGCTGCCTTTGAGAGGGACCTAAATAGCTTTTTACCATAGATCTTTGTAGTATTTCCACCCTTTCCACTGTTCCAGTTGCTGATGGTTTTATCTGTACTCTGGCATATCTCTCAGCTGAAGCAAGTCCTCTCTTTGCCAAGTCCCTGTTTTGGTACTGTCATTCAAGATCCAGCTCTTATTAACTATCCTGAACCTGGTGGAAGGGGGGAAGGTGTCTATTCTGAAGATACTCTTTTAAATTTAGCTGTATTTGTGTGCTATGATCTGCATGCCTCTGCCCCCAAATTACTAAAATTGCAACACAGTTGTCCAGGGCTTATTTTTCATTAAATGACTCTTATAACTGGTATTCCCATTAATGACTATCTTAGTCTGAAACGCAGCAAGACATTTAACATGAGTGGGATATGATACCCACCTCAAATAAATACAGTGCTGCATCAGTAGATGTTTTCATATTTTCAGGTAAGCAGGCTGGTGTTGGGGAAAAAGGTTAGTCTATTAACACCTCTGCTCAAAGCAAGCCAACTTCCTTTCTACATGGAATAATTATTTTTTCACATAAGCCCTTAGTGCCTCTGCTATGTTTGCACTTGTAAGTCTCAAACATTGCAATACAGATAGCCCTTTATGAGTGGAATCTGTGGTCATGTGTCTGCATTACAACTTTAAAATCACTGTGCCTGGGCTACCATGCACTGGCTTGTGAATGCTGTAGGTGTAAGGGCTATGGACCCATATTTCAGGTGTGAAGAGAGGAGAGCCTTTTTTAGCACTTAAAGCAACCATGTGTGCAACTCACAGTTATGAGTGCCTTTGGCAAAACTTTGTAAATTCTGTTGATTCATAGCTGGCATCTCACCCTCTGCATGGTCAGGATTACATATAAATATGTATCTGTCCTACACATAACAGAACCATTTAGAGCATCCCTACAGCATAAAGAGGAAGTGAACTTGGGCACAAAATTCACTCTACCTTTGTGAAAGACTTGCTGGGGAGAATACTGAAAGCCCTTTTGTCTGTCACAGTCCAGGGCTCACCAGAGATTTTAGGTGGCTGGCAATCCATGTTCCTGTTTATAAAATTCCAGCAAGGATTAAGGGTCTTTAACCAATCACAGTTCAGACATAGGTGGTGGTGGAAGCAGAGATTGTAACCAGCATGCCAAGGAAGTAGAGAGACAGGAAGGCTTCTGTCCTGGATCTTGCATCCTGGAGCTTTCACGGATAAAATGTTGCAGCTGGAGTTGAAGAGGGTGTAATGACACACAAATTTTTGGTTTAATCATCTTCTAAAGTCATGCCCAGGGCTGGTTTACAGAAGATGAAAAAAGCTAATGAACCCTGAGGAGGACTGATTTGCAGCTGTCTTCAATAGCTTCCTTGAAGGAGGTCTTTTTTCACTGCGTATATAACCACTGCACGTTGCTGTTTCGAGCAGCTGTGTCTTTGCTGCTCCGATATGCTCATTGCTGGAACTATCTCTTAAAACTCTGGCCAGCACCTGAAAAAATATTATTATTTAAGGTGACATTAACATCCAGGTTCCAGCCACAATTTTGAGCTAGGTACACCACAGTTGAAATAGGAGAGGCTGTCTGTGCCCTAGAAAGCTTATTTTTCTATCTGCAGACACTTAACTTTGAAAGAGGAAATGGGTGAAGGCAAGGTAGCTTTTTTAATCCAATGTGAGCTGGCTAGACAAGTCAGGAAGATTCTTGACAGATGTGAGATTGCAGTAAGATTGGAACAATCTGGCAGAACCACGAAAACATCTGATTTAAAATTCCCAATCTTTTGTCATTCCACACTCAGTAGCAGAGCTAGGAGAAGTAGCTCAGAAATGGAGCATAAGACTGAATTTCAGCTTCTGTTGGTGCTGTTGCCACAAATTCTTGAGTACTTATGTATACTGTATTCCTATATTTCACTGCTGTGCTAGACCCAGAATTTATACGTTGTGCTGCTGGTCTTGCTCCGAGCTGCTGGTCTTGCACCAATAGCACGATTTACAAGGGATGTGCCCAAGTGATCTAGAGTGACTGTAACTATGCTGGTGCAAGAATTTGAATTCAGACATTGAAGGGGCACATTCACAAAGAAAAAATTGCATTACCAACATTTGTTAACCAAAATATGATAACTAGCTTGGGGTAAGTGCTTAAGGCTGTCCTCTGTGCTAACAGGCCCATGCAGAGAAACTGGGTGAGCCCTGGGGTGAAAATTGCAAGCTGCTGAATTCAATGTTCCATACTATCGCATGTTTTTAAATTACTTCAAGTAAGGAGTCCTTTTGTCCTACCAAGCATGAGGTATTGAGATGTTTTGCAAATATTACATATTTGTTTCTGTTAATATATTATTGGCTAGTTGGTATTTTGAATAAATATAATAATTGTGAGAAGCTTTAAAAATGAACTCTTTACAACTGATCATTTAATAATAATTAAAGGCAGTGAAGGAAACCTGAAACATTCAGTAGTTTTAGCAGTAAAGTTGAGGAGGGTATCTTCTGAAATTCTCTAATCTTTTTATTTTATATAAAAACTGAGGCAGGGAATTTATCTTAAGCAATTGCTTTTGGAAAATCATCCTTGCTAGTAATTTCTTTTTTGTTCACAGAATATCCAAAAGAAGGGGAAAGTTTGTGAAGAAAAAAAAAGAATATTGCAACTCACTGCTAGAGGTGTTAATACGACGCTAAGGAACCACAGCCTTTCCAAAGCATAGCTGGCAACATTACCATCCATCTGTGCCGAGGGGGATGTGCAAGCAGAAGTCAGGGCTGAACACCCTCCACCTATTTGCAGAAAGTAAGTGAGCACACACTGAAGTTACTCAGCGTATTCGCTCTGTCTTCGGCAGGCTGGGTGATGTTGTTACTACTACTTTTCTGCTGTCTCATATCTCCTACCGCCATGTGCCAGCTGATAGGGGAACTGTGACATACCACACCCCCGAGGCCAGGAAGGGGGTCACATGGACTGGTCTCATCCAGAGCACTTTAAAGAAACTGATAAGCTCTTTCTCATTTAACTTGGCCTTTGGAAGGTGCTTGTGGAAATTTCTGCAAAGGAGGTGACATCAGTTGTTGTCACAGCTGCTGTGTAAGTCTGCAAGGCTGCGTCTGTTCAGTATCTGCCTGGGGTGTGTATGCGTGTGCAAGTAGATATCGTTTGTAGATTGCATTTAAATCAAAACCAGTCCATATGAAGCTGGCAAGAATGTTCACTTGCTCAGAATAGGTGCATTACCATCGAGACTTGAGGCAAGGATGGAGTACGTAAACTTAATAAAGCACAAAGACAACCAGCTTTGGAAGGCTGGCGTGTACATTTGAAACAAACCTTCTCCCTGGGGAATTCCAAGTGTTAGCATGTGGGACATACTCCAGCTGCTAGCTGCTCAGACTTAAAATAAACCAGGCAAAATCCCATATTCAGGTTCTACCAACTGAGGCAAGCTGCTATTGCAAATGTTTCGTCTCCCTTTTTCTTGCACTTGGGTCAAAATGACAACAAATATTTTTGAAAGGGCATTTAAACCCTTAGTATTTCACACAGCTTTCCTTGTGCTCCTCTGTAGTGACGTGTTTCTCAACACAGTCGTAAATTTAGCAAAGAATCTGGTTTGTACAGGTTGAAACACTGTCCCAGGAAGGCTGGAATTAAAAAACAGGGTGAGAAGGAGTATTTCTAGCTTGTGTGACAATGACATTGCTACCAATACTGCTTTCCTAATCCTAGGTGCTTTAAAAATCTCAGCATGACTTCATTTACAGGGAACTATTTGCCTTGTTGAACTGTGGAGACCCTTTTTCTTAAAGAGAAACACATGTGACTTAAGGATGGTTGCTTCTTTCTTCTTTCTTGACATATTGAAGAGGAAATAATTTAATGTGTCTGTGGAAGACTCCATAGCAGGATTTCAGGGAAAAAAAATGTCTGGGAGTCATATGATTGTTTGACAACTAGGATATGAATAACTTTGAGGAGATCTGAAAATAGACTATGGTACTGTTTGCTTTGTCTTGTGATTTGAAATTTACTTCAGGACTTTTTAAAAATTTTAGTTTAATAATCCTCTGACTATAATTTATTTCCAAGCTACTGAGGTACTTGGGAGGGGTGGGAAACAATCAACTTAATGCAATCCATGCAAATAATGTCTAATTTTTTTTTCAACAGTAACCTATGTGAAACTTCATTCATCAAGACTTCTCGGTTTTTCTGTGATAAAACCTGTTGTGCAACGTAATACACAACATTTAGGAATTCAATGCTCTTATTACTGTCAAAGCATAGATAATAAACTCTACCAGTCAGCTCGAAAAATTTACACAAGTGACTGACATGACCAACCTTCCTGCTTCTTCTCTTCTTTCTTTAGACACAGACACACAAATTCTTGTTCAAAACAACAGGCTTATCCAGGATATATTTATAAGGGTGAACTCTGCCAGGCTTTGGTTAGTCATATACAGTGCTGGGAGTATCTTTTGAAGGTATCCCGAACACTGTGACAGAAGCATTTGTCACTCAAACTATTTATAATTCTTGGAGTTCGGAGGGCAGATAGATGTTTATGCTTTTTCACATGAAATGGCACTTAGGCCTTTTGCACAAAAGGCATTGGCCATGCCTGTATGGACACGTCAGGGCAGATCTGGACCATGCTGTTTTCGCTAAATGCCATGTTTACACCCCGGACACAGTTCTGGCTACTTGATTGACCTTTGTGTCTCACAGATGACTTTGTAGCTCTGTGAATGTCAGCTTGTTGTTGGCTGGACCTCTAGTTTCTGTGGATGATTGGAAGAGGTCAGTGCAGGGTACCTCAAAAAACGTGAAAATCTTGTCCATGTAGCACCTCCATTAGCAGGTCTTTAAGGGCTCTCAAACTGAATAAAATGATAAGCTCTAGTATTAACCTCATTTCTTTTTTTTTTTTTTTTTTTTGATGATGTGTAAAACTATGCTAAGGCCAGTCAGTCTCTGAGAAATAAGACTGATAAGCATCACAGGCTTTTTTCTTTATTTTCATAACCACCTCAAGCAATTAGTTTTGAGGGCTTCTTGACAATGTTTACGTGCAGGTTATCCTTCCCTCCTAGTCCTTCTTCCGTCTCTTGAATTATTCTTAACTCTGTATTTCTGGGAATCGTGGGCAATGTATAGACACAACGCCTTCAGCAGGCATGCAAGGAATGTTATGAGGGTAGCAGGCTTCTGGTTCCCCTGGTCACTCAGATGATTTATGTGCCAGTATAATGAGAATGAATGATTAGCTGTTGTTCATTGACAGAGACCTTGTGAGTCTGTCTGTGCACAAGAGGTTTTGGGAATTGATAACCTTTGTGATTCAGGTTTTGTTTTGAATAGATAGAAGTGGAGAAAATGGTTGTTGGTGGATGTAAAACTGAACAAAGTGAAGGGTATTAGCCAAGTTCTGGCAGTAAAGATGAAAATCTGAGTTATTTATACAGATGGAAACAAAGTCGAGGTATTTTCATTATTTTGGGACACAGCATTGACTTTTATAGAGTTACGGGATGCTCCTGCCTAGGATTTCAGTCTCTTCTATTTTTTAGGTCTCTGTGAGACACTGTGATGCATTACAGCTTTGGTCTAAGCACCAGCCAAGTATAAAAGGAGGGGCCAGTTTTGAACTCTGAAACTGAGAAGTCTCTAGGTCACTCTAAAGTTGCCCAGAGACAAGGCAAGTTAAAGTATCTTTTTTGCCATTCAAAAGCAAGATAAATTGTTCATAGAGAGAACCACTATTACTACTATATAAGTTATTCACTTCAACACCTTTCTCATATCATATCAAGTTAATGACCATTTTGTGTGTCTGGTATACATCCAGAACCCCTGTTATGAAGTCAAGGTTGCGTGAGATAACCCAGTTTGCATTAGTAAATGCTGCAGAACACTATATTATTTTGACAATTATCATAAAGCTACATAAACCATACTTTTAAGATTTTTTTTCTAAAGGATAAGAAGTGAAGATTAAATACTGAACTCTGATTTTCAGAAATATTACATACACCTCCCCCACCTTCATATCATAATAGCAAATTATTGGGAACCTGAAAGATAAGAGCCATGGTTTTTTTGCTTTTATGTACCTAAAATGTAGCACTCTTTAGAAGAAACCTAAGTATTCTCTCTACTGCAACCACATTAATTCCAGAAGAAACCTCTGCCTTCTCTGGTATTTACGTTTTCCTAATATCCACTTAAAAATTTTGACTTTCTCAATGGTTCCAGCAGTTTCATGTTGTAAGGTTTTGAAGCTGATTTAAAATTTCACCATGCATTTTTGTATTTTGATCAAGAACTCAAACTGGGACTTAAAGGCTTTTGTCCTATTCAGAAGTTACCCATGTGCAAAAACATTCTTCTGAAACCTATGGGAAAGAAATGGGTGCCTTTACAACATGCCTGGAAGGTAATTGGAAATCACTGTGCTCCATTTTTCAAGAATAAGAACCATAAACTCCCCTCCTGGAATGGCATAAAGCACGCACGTTTTCTCTCTGAAAGGCATAAACTCAGCGTTTCTATGCGTACCTATGATATGGTGGTTGGAAAGGCATTTGGAAGCGTTCCTTTAACAATAGTCACATCACCATCCTCCTATCTGTGCTGGCTGTAGTGGAGACAGGGCATTGTTTACCCCAGTGCTGTTGTATAGCAACCCTGGGAGTTGGAGGCATAGCTGTGTGCGGTGCTTGGCGCAGCCTTGTGTGTGCTGCGCATGGTACGGACAGTGATCCTTGGTAAGCCAGGCTCTGCTGCAGGCAGAGAACCAGCCAGAACAGCCCTGTCCTGATGCATGGTGCAGCCAGGGGAGAAGGGAACGGGACAAAACTGCTCGTCTTTCCTAGGTGTGTACCTGTGCCTCAATGATTTCATTCAGTCCTGAACTAGTAATGGAAAATCTTGCATGGCTACAACTCAATGTATCATAGTCTGTGTTTGTAACTGAGTTGGCTTGAGTTAACAGTACCTTTAGAGATACACTGCTTGCAAAACATGCACCACTAGCCAAAGAATGCCTTTTATCAAGATGGGTTAGGAATATCCAGTGCTTCCCTATAGGCATGTCACTACCTGTAGCTGAATTTAATAACACTAGATTATTGTAGTGTGGTTTTTACTGGCTTTTTTTCTTCATTCTTTTGAATCTATTTACTTAATTTTCCTACCATCAAGAGAAAAACAACTATGAATACTTGCAAAAGCAGGGTCAGATGGTGAGACTGGATTGAAAGAAGGTATTTAGATTCTTCAGATGGTGCTCAAGAGAGCTGTGGGCTCAGCTATGCTACACAGCCAAATACACTATAGAGATCTCTGAGCCAATGCCATGATCGGAAGCTCTGTTAGTGTTGTTCTGTTCTCCCTGGGCTAATTAACAGAGGTGCCTCTCAGCATACCTAATTAGCTCTGTTCCTGCAGCATCCTCAGGGGCAGGGCTAATTAGCGTGGGTGCTTTGCTATACAGACACAGCTACATTGCCTCTGGGATCTAAGCTAGCATCCGTGCGTGGCATTGCAACGCACCGTGTAGACAAGCCAGTTTCCTCAAAGCTACTCAGGATCTCTAACAGCCCTTTGCTGTGTGGACTTGCCTGGTGCATTAATGAGACCCCAGAAGCTTATGCAGGGAGAAGGATAGCAACTTGGGATGTGGGCTAGAGGGTAACATTTTAGGACACATTTTAGATGTTTCAGGATGAGTCCCAGATTCATTTGCTTTTACTTTACATCTACTTCTTACCTTTTTAATAAAAAAAGTGTAAAAAATAATCACCACCTGTGGTAGAGGCAAACAAATAGGCCTATATTGAGACAAATGATGTCTGAACCTGCTACCTTGCAGCTTGCTGGTTTTTGCTTTTCGCAGCTAAAAGATAGTTATGAACTAACGAACTGAAGCATTTTTAAAGCAAATTTCCCTATTGCTCTGGTGAAATAGTAATGATAACAAAGCATTCTTTATGGTTTTACAGATGCTGCTCTCTCTAATCTTTAAATGCTTTGCAAGCATGAGTAAGCACAGCTTCATATGAGCCCGTGATAAGGCAATACGATTCCCATAGTATGAGCAGTAAATCTGAGATGTGAAGCCCAGCCAAAAGTAACTTGCATTTATTAGAAAGAGCGTGTCCTCCATGGTTTAACTTATTATTGCACCGTGCATCTCAGAATTTCCTTGTACAGACATTTTTCTTATCAGGACTATTTTACCCCACTGATATCAATTGATTGCAGGTTCAGTTTAGCTGAGCTGACTTGAAAATATTGCATTGCACCATATGAGAGTTGCAGAAAGGTGGCTTAATATTCACAAAGGGGCTGTACACTGTAGAGGGCTGATAAACAAAAGATCCACTGTTTCTGTCTTCTGCTTACAGTATCAGTAGCAACAGGCTGCACTGATACCTTCCCTGATAGCTCAGCCTTGCACAGAAAAACAGTGCCATTTGTGGCTACAAATTTTAGCTTCTTCATGGAGTCCTCCGGGGCTCAGAATCTCTCAGGAGCTCAGTGGGAGACTCTTCCCAATTAATAGAAAAGAGCTGTTAGAGACAGCCTAATGCACCTCTTAATCTTGTTTCACTTTATTCTCTTCATTCTAAAAACCTCAGAGGTACATAACATACAGCTATCCAATTTTCTCTCCTTCCCACAAGGAAAGCCTGTGGCTATACCTGCGTCATATCTGAAGTGATCTTGGGAGTGTTCTGCAGTGCTCACTGTGTCTTTGCTGTGTAGTGTTCTGGCTGCCTGTAAGCTCAACCTCCTCTGGCAAATGATGGTGATGCCCATTTGTGAAAGATTCTCTCTTTACTGGGAGAACAGAGTTGGATGCATGGAAGTGACCTGGCCAGGCAAAGGGGAGTGGCTGCAGGAGTTCCTTTGCAGCCATGTATGCTTGACATGCACAGATCAGCCAAGAATGCGCACCAGCAGGAAAAAAAAATTGAGACAATCTCTAGCCATGTCTTTAAATGCAGCCTCAAGGATGGCCTCTGCATCTCTCCCTTCCAGTAGGGAGAAGTGCTGTGAGACACTGAGCCTTTGCAGCATTTCTCTAGAAATGCACGAAGGAGAGGGGTCTCTTGCAGCTAAATCATGCTGTGACCAGTTCCACAGCCACCTACCAAACCCTGCTGTGGTGCAAAAGGGGCACATCCTCCTGACCTTCCTGCTTGGATCAGTTGTAGTTAGGTACAATGTCTGAGTCTTCAAACAAGAGATGAGCAAGACCTCTTAGTTAGAGCTCTGTACAACACCGTCTTCAAAGAAATGACTTGTGGCTTTAATGGATGGTCGGATGCCATTAGTGAACAGCATTATTCACATGTATGGATCCTCCTTCTCAGAAATCCCAGAAACATTCCTGCTTGAGCTATGTGCAAAATAAATCTGGGATTAAAAAAAAAAAAAAAAGCCTTCCAAGCAGAGAGGAACAAGAGACAAAGAGATGTGTGTCTCAGCAAGACTTCCACAGAGAAGCCTCAACATGTGTGCAAGGTGAAAAAGAATAACAGGATGACGTCAGCGTTGGCTGGTGATGGGCAAGGGAGGGCCCTTTTCATCACAGTCTGGCAGAGAAACACAAGGCTTCAGCAGAGGGAGGAAGTACAGATCCTTACTTCAGAAATATAAATCCTTTTTTAATAAGTGACTGAAACGGTAGGAGCTCCTAAAGAAAGACAGCTTTCCTGCTCCTTGTACCTTTAACTCTTTCCCTGCATGATGGAATGTTGCTAATGCTTTCACTTTCCTGCTCTACTCTCCTGTGCATTTTGAGGAGAGCGAGCGAGCCGTGTTACCTAACACAAAGAGGGCTCCAAAAGGTCAAAAATCAATGCCAAGACCTGCACCAGAACTACTGGAAGCCAGGGCAGTTGCAGAATGCCCAGTGGGTGTATGATCCCATGGGATCCACAGAGTAGGGCTTTTAAAGGAAAAGACATCCATGTTCTTATTTACGGTAATTTTTTTTTTTCTTTTTTTTTTTTCTTTTCCCTGAGGCTTAGGTTCCAGTAACAGATTCATCTTGTCTTTTTTGAGAAATGCATTTACTCACCTAACCCCTGTCTATTGTCAATGAGGCTAAATAGGCATGTCTAGAGAGCAATTCATCCCATGTGTGATACTGTGGAGAGGTGGGCGTGGTGATGGTGAAAATAAGTGCCTTTGGGAAGGGTCTGCCTGCTCCAGCTGACCACACAGGAAGGCCAGGGAACTTTCTGGGGCTGTTTTTTGTTTGGCAAAAATTTGAGCATTGAACTGCTGCCTATGGTTTTGATTTGGCTGAAGCAAGGAAGTGCTGGAGAATACAAGAAAGAGGTTAAAGCCCTGAACATTAACCAGGCATCACAGAGGTGTAGGTAAGGGCCCACACCTCTGAATAAAGGATGCAGATAAGGTAAACAGTCATAAATCTAATATAATCTAACTTGTACTTGAACAATTGCTAGCAAGACCTGAACATAAGATAGGAAATTAGTATTTGCATACTGGTTTTGGTCTATTACTGTTGAAATTGTGATCAGGTTTAGAAGCTATAACAATTTACAGAGAATAGAAAAAATATTTTGTAGAACAGATAAAACATAATGAATCACCTAGTGCCATAATGCAAAATTTTCCACTCCCATCCTTATGTTTTATTCTGATATCTGCAATTCACCACTTCAAACAAAACAAATAGTTTTTTATTTACTTTTTTATTTACTTTGTGCCACAAAAGTCAAGGCTAGTTTTCATAGGAATATTTAATTTTAATGTCGAGATAAGAGTGACCAACCCAGGTTCAGACACAATTTTATCAGTGCAGTCTAACATATAAATCCTGTTTCAACGACACTTGCCTCAAATGAAAAGCAGGTATGCTAGCACAGACGAGAGATTTCCCAGTCTAATGCATCCCAGATGATTCCAGGCTGGGCATATCTGTGCAATCTGAGACTGGCAACTGTCCCTCGCTCTCTGCTGCTTTTGTTGGAGCCAGTGGCCAGACGAGGTACTAGGCAAGGCTGAGTCTGCTGGGGTCTGAGATGGTGCAGAATTCTGCTGAAAAGAGAAAGACTCATGAGAACAACTTGATTCTGTGTTTTTCCCACCAGAGGCTAATTTTAGCAAAACTGTCCTTAGCACATGTGTGTGGGAGGGCAGACATTTCCTTCTTTACATGACCTTTGTATAAAACTAAATCCAGAGAAGTGATTTTTCTCTTCCTCCCCTATTTTCAGATTTCTGGAGACTCACTGGTGGGGAAAAAAAAAAAAAAGAAAAATATGGAAATCTGTGGTTTGTGCAAAGGAGCAAATTTAAATAGGAAGCAATTTAGCAGAAAGTTTCTTGCTGTGACTTGAAACTATACCAAAACGTTTGGTATAATGTCCCAGAGCTGTTTTCCTGCTGTTCTGCTCATGACTTGATTTATGAGTTTATGTGTGCCTAACAGGTAGAATCTGGGTTGGGACATATATTTTTGTTCAGGCTACAATTCCTTCCTGTGCCCTCTCTCTGCTTCTCCAGCTTCCCATGGCAGCAGAAAAATTAGGGCATGTGTGTAAAAGTGCTGTTTTCTTCCTCGGCCCATTGTGCTGGCTGAATGACTCATAAACCAAACATTGATAAAATCAACTGACAGTTATTTAAACCTGAGGTTTCAGGTTAAGGAGTAACAGTGCAAACATAGCTGGTGAGAGGCTGTTTGCAGTGCATGTGCTTGTGTGTTAAATCCTGAGAATTTTGAAGGGCTGTTTCACAAAGTTCCATAAAGCAAAGTTGTAAGATGATATAGGGAGTCCATGTTAAGGCGTCTGTTTTTGTGATGCTATTGAGGTGTACCTGCTTCTCAGGT